AGCGCGGATAGCCCTCGTGTAGCTTTGCGCGAAATTCAAAAAACAAAAAAAAAAAAACAGAATATTTGAGAAGACGAAGACACATATGGTATGTTTTTAATTATTTTTCAATCATTTACAGTAGCAGTTAGAGTTAATGTAATATAGCGGTATAGATAACTTTGGTCACCAGAATTTTGATATATTTGTATGTAAATATATTTTATACTTTCAACATTTGTCGAGTTCAAGATAATTTCTGTAATTCGCAGTGGTTACCAGGTGCAGAAAGTGTTATCACAAATAAATTTTTTTGGATTTTATCTTACGTAGTCTTATGCGTTATACTTAGTCCCTTGCTACTGTTAATAATAACCTACCTATATGTTGTTAAATCATGGAAAAAGTAGTTATTTGAGGTAGGTTTTCCAATATATTGATCTATATAATATATAAGTGCAATATAAAGTTAAGTTTCATTTGAGAGTACCAAATCAAAACTTTAAATGGTTAACAATATTAAAAGTTATATCACGAAGAGGACAATGAATATCTGAAACAGGGCAAAAAAGATGAATAGAAAATTTATTCAACCAATTCTTAGTGGGTTAAGGGTTTTTTAATTCGGAAAAAAAAGAGAGTAGTATTCTTGTTACACCTTTACAGCTTTTCACTTTTCTACTCGTTTTATGATTCACGTTTTAATATTGTTGGGCACTAGAACTTCGACTTAGTACTTTTAAATAAACATATTGTTCTGACTGTTCTTTGCCCGACAAATACAAGTTCAGTATTGTTAGTATTGCAAAGCACGCGGTACCATTCTTGAAGTAAAACAATAAGAAATTATTATCGATTGCACATTCAAAGCTGACTTTATAGTCTTCCTAACATGGATCTCTCTTAATAAATATACGTATCTATGAATAATGATTAACAATATTCAGATTACACATTGCCAATGTTTTGTTAGATTAAAACAGAATATGAAAAATATCTTATCTAGATATCATTTTTTGGCTTTTACAAAATATTCATGGTAAATATAAAAGAAAATGCATCTAATTATCTTTTGTAAACAAATAAAATGACAACCAAGCGGTATTTTATTTAGATTATTTTTTAAGTTTCAAAGTGCTTGTTAAAGAATATTATACTTTTTAAGCTTTCTTCATCCTACAGAGGATAGAGTAGCATGAGTTCTATTATGATTCATCAGTATGTTGCAAAACGTTTTTGGACATTAAGACATTTCAATATTTGATTATTTTCCCCAGTACAAAGGTAAGATAAAAGAGATTAGGCACGGTCTAGGGGCATATTCATCACCTTCCCTCAACTCGTCTGAGGTAGATTAAATGGCAGTAATTACCCCCCAAAAAAGTAGCTGGCCACCAAGAGACAAGGGTATATTTACTAAATGTCGAATCAACAGAAGGAAACCCTGCTGTTGTAATTACACCATAGGTCGACGCTATCCCATCTGTGGGAAGAAATGGACACAGTAAAATGCCTGAGGATATATCTAACAAGGTCTGAAAGAATTGCATCTTCGTCTATACCAGTTAAACTTTATGCTTTTCTATATGATCAAATATATGTGTTATTCGCGAAAACTATACATTAGTAAACTTACAAAAGACTTTTGTGATATTCAACACACATCGTTTTTATTCTTCGATTTTGTATTGTTAGTGTAAGTTCTAGCCCAGTCTCGCTTTCTTCTGCATTCACAACCAATTTTATGGATTCTGAAAAGTGCAAATATTTGTCTTTTTTCAAAGAAGAGACTTTTTTTTTAAATTAGAGTTCTTAGGCATTATCACGAATAAATTTATGCGAACATTTAAATTCACGGCTACAAATCAGACTTACTTTCAGCTCTAAGCGTTAAAAATAAATGTAAACTTTGAAACTCACTCCTAGCTTTAAGCTTCTTTGACTATTAAACTTAGCAAATATTTAAGTTGTGCTCTTATCTTTGCAAGTGAGCGTCTTGTTTATATAATTAAGCCGCGACTGGCCACCTGGTTGAACTAT